GCGACGTGTTGCTTTCTAGATCGAATTGACATCTCAGACAAAGAGAAGTGAAAGAGTAAAGTGATATTCAAGGATAAAAACGCTCGAGTGAGGCGCTACACTATAAAAAAAAACAGGTTTATTACGAAATATGTGCCCGCGCGAAGATCTGTTAGGTTTCGTATTGATTTATCGGACCCAAAAAACATTGGAAAATTATTTGCTGAACCTTTTTAGATTTCGTAAATCGATGCGAAACCTAATGGATCTTCGCGTGGGCACAGGTTTCGTAATAAACCTATTTTTTTTACAATGTACCATACAATAGTGTAGATATATATATACTGGCATATCTGCAGTATCACATGAAAAAAAAAATTCGTGAACGGCACATTTCCTGTCGTGTATATGTAGGAGCAGCAGTATTGCAATCGGTACTAGCAGGGTGCTCAATTCTTTTTAGAAAGGCTCAAATCTTTTTAAGAGAGCTGCTGTGACCTTCTTTTCTTGTCTCTTCTGTTTATTTTATAAATCAGTGGGCAATGACTCAACTGACATGATTCTCCCACTTCGAATCTATTTTAAGATATATCTTTTTTCTTTTCTTTTCTCTTCTTTTCTATTGCGATACAACGATCGAGAAAGAAGACGACGTAAAACATATTATTTTCTGCATTCTGCATGTGTATCATGGCGATATTTCTTGTTCTCGTCATTGGACTGCTGATTATATTTGTTATTTATATAAAACTAAAATATTTTACTTCACGTGGTCCGTTGCCTGGAAAATCACCTCAATTTTTATTTGGAAATCTGTTACAGACCGGTCAGTTACGTGGGGTTTCATGGACCACTGTCACTATGCAAATGCAAGCCAAATACGGCGATGTCTATCAATATTGGATTGGACCGTTGCGAACGATCTGTATATGCAATATTGAAGATATATACCATGTATTCAACCATCGACATATCTATGAAAAAGGCTTCTGGCACACTGATCATTTGGCTATTTTCTTCCCAAGTTCAATTATGTGCATTATCGGTCAGTGATAAATGATAACTATATTCGAATGATTCGATTTTCTGAAAATATAATCGGTGTCTGAGGAAAGTAAAATATATTATATAGATAAAGGATAAAAAAAAAAGAGAATTCGAATTGATGGATATTTTCCATGAATGTGAATATATCACAATGACTAGCTACTTTGATAAATTGAGGTTATGTCATAAATCTCTCGAGTGAACGGAGGTCATATCGGAATTCTCTCGAGTGAAGGAAGGTCATATGAAATAAAATGAATTTATATGCCTGCTTGCTTGAATGTTTGCAGTCACGTGTAAAGTCATGTGGACACATGTATAGCCATAAATGTAATTTATAAAGATTGACTAAAGCTAATCTGGGTCCACGAATCTAAATCTGTGGTTAGTTTTTTTATTCAACCTTTCATTGGACAGAAACTGGACCAATCAAAAACGAGTTATTCTATTTTAAGGCTTTTCGAGCTGTTTTTTAACAAAACTTTGCTATAGATTATCAAGGATGAACGATCCGAAAAATCTGAGGGTCGAATTTTCAGTTCGACATTTCGTTGACTAGAAACTGAACCAATCAGAACGGCGGCGTTTATTTTTCAGTTTTTGGTCCTGTCAATGTAAATTTGCGATAGGTTATTGAGATCAGGTACTGATACTCGAAGTTGGGTTTTCGGATGGTTTTGTGTTAATCGCAGAGACTGAAAACGAAGCGAACCGAACTGAACCAAACCGAAACCGATGTTTTGAATCATGAGTCGAATTGAACCGAATCCAAACTAGACAATTGCGGTTCGATTCGGGTGTATTGTGGTTTTAAGTTTCGAATAGTCATTTTAAATATTCAGCCGTTTACTCTCGGATCTCCGAAACAGGTGACCAATTGAAGGGTAATCAAAATTAGTGAAAGTCAATAGTTAGAATACTAAGCTACCCAGATCAAAATATCAGACATCAAGTCTTGTACGATCAGGTGAAATCGTACAAAAAATCGTGGTCACAGAAATTTTACATCAAATCGTACTATAAGATTCTTATAAGATCTTATTTACTTGATGTAAGAATTCTGAGACCACGGCTTTCGTACGATTTTTCGTCTGATCTTACAAGATCATGCAAGATCAGACGTACGACTATATATGATCTTACCGTCTGCTTGTTTGACCTGGGTACAACTAATTTTAACTATTTTTATTGACTCGAGTTGAACTTAAACCAAATTGAAAGGGTACGGTACGATACGGTTCGGTCCGAGATAAGCTAAACCAAGCCTGAACCAACTTTCTGAACGTCCAGTCAAACCGAACCGAACTCAAATCGGAAAAATTCGGTTCGTTTCGGTCTCTGATAATTCTTTTTTCAACTCAAGGGAGGATCGCATGGAATAAAGTGTGTTTCTGTGTTTTTTCGCAGTCACGTGTACGATTGTATTCATGTAAATCGAAGTTTTTTCCCTTACATTTGACTAAAGGTAAGCGCGGTCAATGAATTTCNAAAACCTTTTTCCCTTGAACAAAACTAGTGGGTTACCGAAGACTGAATTCTCGACTGAAAACTAAAAATACTCGCTAGAACTATGATAAAACTACCTATATATACAATACTTGCGTTGTTTGTGAATCAGATCTTGTGGTAATTCACCTGTGGATCAATCCTTTTTTTGATCGAAATCTTAGTCCAGAGGCTGCTTTTACTCGTGGTAGTTTTCTCTTAGCAGCTTTTTCACGCGGGATTTTTAGCCAATCATATGTTTTTTCATCCATAACTTTGATCTAATCCGAGTTTTCATGATTGATAGTGAGTCAGAGAGAAAGGCTCCCTTTACACTCCTCGTCGATGTTCGTTTCTGCTTCATGAAGCTTTAGCTATTGGTTCGTTCTCGAAACTAATCCTTCATATGTGTCAACGCAGCGTATTGTATATATAGGTAGTTTTATCATAGTTCTAGCGAGTATTTTTAGTTTTCAGTCGAGAATTCAGTCTTCGGTAACCCACTAGTTTTGTTCAAGGGAAAAAGGTTTTATTTGGAAAAATTCTTAATATAAGAGAATGATCTTTTTGTGCGGTAGACCTTAGTACATGAGTTGCTAGCCATGAGTCGCACCGACGAACAACTAGTCACTGATGTCAATGATTACTGCGCATGTACTTCAGAAAACATGTCAATAACCTATGGCACAAAAGTGTTGGTACAAAATGTTTCCTAGTTTTTGAACTACTTAGAAACAACTGTTGAGGGTGAAAATTAGTCAGTTAGAATCAGAATATTGTGCTCTCTCGGAATATATGTTCAGAATTCTCTTTTGACGTAAGCTTGGTCAACTATGAGAAAATTTTTCAAAGGACTCAAAATGGTGTTTATACAAAGCAAAATAGGGAGTTTTGCGCAATTCTTAGTTCGTGTAATTTGTACGTCAGAACAACTTTACTAGCCAATATGGTAGAGCATTCTATTGTCTATAAAATGAACTAATAGAATAAGCAAAACCTCGAATCCTTCGAAAGTTACGTATTCTTTTTCGAAGAATTAAGTTCCATATAAATTGATATTCGTGAAAAACTTGATTTTTCAAAAACTGCTTCTTTAATCATACAAAACATTTTAAATGTTTAGTGCAAGATAAAGCAAAATATAAACAGTACATTTTGAAGAGAAAAGTGTTCTGTAAAAGATTAATTCAATAAGAACGATTTCACCTTTTGCATTAAGTGGGTCTAAGTCAAAATACAAAAATTGAACAGAATACAATTGCGCACAAAACATTTTGGACATTTTGAAAACTTTCTCAAAGTTGACCCAGCTTACGTTAAAAGAGAATTCTGAACATATATTCCGAAATAGCACAAAATTCTAATTCTAACTGACTGATTTCGGCACTCAACAGTTGTTTCTAAGTAGCCAAAAAACTAGCAAACATTTTGTACCAAGATTTTCGCGCCACAGTTTAAATATTTTTTTCTCATGAGCACGCGTGTTCAGCATCAGTTCTCAAAATAGAATTTAACATACGGTGAAAGATTATGGTTAGATCAAGTTCAGTCGAAGATCAAACGAGTCATGGCGACAAGTGTTACTTGTCTTTCATACAAGGGTTTCTTGAGGTAGAATCCGAATGGAAGTACTCCGAAACTTTCATTTGAACATTCTCTATTCAATCCCATTCATATCAACACCTGTCAATAAGGATTTAGATATCAACTAAAATAGTCGCGGTTGTTCTTCTTTATAGTAGTGTCACATCACCCAATCACTGTTAAATTTCAAACACTTCGCTATGTTAACCATGATTTAAAATTGTATATCGAGACAAGACAGGATTATTGCATTATTTATTTACTTTTTATCTTAGGAGAGGAGTACAAGCGTCACGCAAGTGTTGTTCTTCCTCTATTTCGTCGCGGTAGAGTTGCAAACAATTTAGATCTCATCTATGATTGTACCGACAAGTTGCTCGATCGATGGCATTCAAAGATTGATGATCCCACTTATATTCATTGCGATATAATTAAACAGTGTCAAGAGTTATTACTGGCAATCTTTGGTTACATTGGTTTTGATTATGATTTAGAGATGTTGACCGAGGATGGTTTTATGAACAATAATCAGCTCGCCAGGTCTTTACTCAATTTTTGGAATGTTTTCTCCTTGGCTGTTTACATGCCATCAATTATTGGTAGAATCTACTTAAAATTGAGTCCTCAATATCGGCAAGCGTTATCTATTATTCGCAAATATTTTGACCGAATAGTTGAACACGAACAAAAAAAGACACAAGAATCGATTGGTGAAAGAAGAAGAACAAGCCTGATTGCATCACTCATCGATTCTTTACAGGATAACGAAAACAAGGAAGCGACGAAATCAGAGGATAAAAAGACGGGTGAATTGATGTTTTTATTTTCTCTAGAACTATCTTTTTTATATTGGAAAAGTATCATTCTTTTGTTTAGGACTATCGCATAATGAAGTGTTTGATGAAATGCTTTTCTTTCTTGTGGCGAGTTACGAAACAACATCAACTGCATTGGCATGGTTTATTCATCTGATGAGTAAAAATCCTCGTGTACAAGCAAAAATCAAAACTGAACTAGGCGATAATAAACAACAACGTCTCTCTATTGAACAACTTGAATCTCTTGAATATTTGAATTGTGTTATTCAAGAAGTACTTCGTTTTGCACCACCTGCATACGCCACTATACGTAGTGTAACTATTGACGATATATTACCGGCAAGTGGCGTTCAATTGCGCAAAGGCGATGAAATTTGGATTAATATTTTTAATTTAACTCGAGATAAACGCTATTGGAAGATCGATCCAGATCTATTCTATCCTGAACGATTTCAAGGTGAAGACAAAGATCATCATCCATATGCATTGATTCCATTCGGGAGTGGTCATCGGCAATGTATCGGACAAGACTTAGCTCGATTAGAGCTGAAAGCAATCGCGGTCAGACTAATGCAACACGTCACTTTCAGTGATGGTGGTCTCGAAGTCAATGCAGGTGGATTCATCTCAAAAACTATGCTCATGCCAAAGAATGTTGGTGTGACAATAACTTTCGACTAATTTTCAATGCACTTCCGACATTTACTTTGTCATTATAAGAAGAAAAAAATTATTTATATAAGTTCCCATCCCATGCCTCTTCTAGAAGTTTACGTCCCTTCTACCTTATTTTCATGTCATTAAGTAGCGCCTTATTTTTATGATTTTATTTATCGTTTCAAATACTTATATCTAGATGACAGCCTTGTATTAATAAAAGATTATAACTTTAATGAAAACGAAAAGTAAAATGTAGATCAGCAATTATTTATTGTTGAAAATCGAGGAGAAGACATACGAATCCGTCAATGGCAAAAATGACATTTAAACTTAAATTTTATCTTGGCCGAAAACGAGAACTTGAATGCATTCGCGGACAATTTCTACTGTTTAAATGCTTTTAACCTTTTCAGAATGAGTGGCCACTAATTATTTTTGAACAGAGGCATATATTATGTGGGTGTGGGTGTCAGCGTGGGTGTGGGTATGGGTGTGGACCTAGTTGGATCGCAAATACTCATACCCACACCCACTAACACTCACATCTAGACCCACACCCACTGACACCCACACCGACCCCACACCCATATCCACACCCACATCCCACACACCCACACCCACACCAGAGCTGCCACCTCTTCTGCTTTTAGCAGAAAAATTCTGCTTTTTGAAGGTTTTTCTGTCCTTTCTGCTTTTCCGATTTTTTTCTGCTTTTTTAATATTGTGCTATCTATATTTGCAACCAATTTTTTTATATTTAAAAGATCATTTTCAAAGGCATACAGATAAATTCCAATCAATACTTGCTGATGCCTTTGTTTTGCTCTGATTCTTTTATAAAGAAAGTTCTTATTTTCCACTGGCAGCAAAAATCTACCAATATATATATTTTATGTTTTTATTCCATCTTTTTTCTATATTTTCCTTTCTGCCACATATTCTGTTGTCCATCTGATTTATACCAATGTGTTGATATGTCAAAAAATAAAAGGCTTCAATGGAAATCATTTGTTCTATGAATTTACAAACATAAAATCAATATTTAAAACTATGTCAGATCAAAATGTTCCAATTTTTGATCAAGTTCAAGCATTTGTCAGAAAACAAAACGATATAGCTAATGGCGGAGCCAGGATTTGAATCTGGGGTGCTCCGCTCCCCATAGTCTTTCCGTGGCTTTGTCGCTAGCCTCTCAGTCTAAATGGGGCTCAAATTTCCTAGGGAAAGCTTGGAACTCTCTAGAGGGAACTCAGCTCCCATAGCTCTGCCACTAGATATAGCAGTAGCAAACCTGTGTGATGATGTAAAAGAAGTTGATGATGATTATTCAACAGGGACCAAGAGAGCGAGGTTTGGCCAATTATGAATATTATTATTTTCCCTCATCAAATCACAAAATTTTAACAAACTCATTTGTTTTTTATATTTATTACCTTGTAGCAATGCTTACGGCGAATCAGCATTGCCACAAATGAAACATTTATTAAATGATAGGAAAAACTGTATGACAACAGAACTTCTACCGGTTGAATTAAAAATACGTTTAAATTCAACCTTATCATCCACCGAATTATAAATATATATTACGTAGTGAAGATTTATTATGAGCTGTCAAAGCCGATGAAAAATATACATTTAAAAGAAAATGTGTTCAATAATTATATTTATTTATCGAGCTGTGTTTTTCTTGATCTTGAACAACAAATATTAGATTTTTATGTGAACATTCCTTGTTACAACACTGAAACAAAACTTAAACATAGTTTTATATCAAAAATATACCTTCTGCTTTTTTTCTGCTTTCTGATGATAAAACTTCTGCCAATTTCTGCTTTTTGAAAATGATTTTCTGCTTTTGAGAGTTTAAAAGGTGGCAGCACTGACCCACACCCACACCCACACCCACACCCACATCCCACACACCCACACCCACATCCCACACCCACACCCACACCCGCACCCACATCCAACAGGGTCTATTTTTCCATCCGAAGCAGCTTGAAAAACTTCTAGTGATGCTCCAGTAGATTCGAGATCATTTAAAAGAGCTAGCAAGTTACTCATTGTTAATAACTCTTTAAATTTGTTGTTAATCCGATCATAATGATATTCATGTAACATATCAAATAAATATTTTTTAGATTCATCATTGATAGTTGGTAAAATATCATTCACAATATTTTCAATTTTCTCTGTCAATGCTTGCAGTAATTCACTCTCGTCTTGATTCAATGGAAATGTGTTCACATTACAATTTAATATCTGTATTGTTTAATAAAGTGTCTGGTTTTGATATTTCTTGTTCGTTTAATGTATTTAATGTCTCATTGACACAAATTATGATAGTTTGTATGTGTGCATGAGCTGGATAGCATTGAGTCGTACAAAATATATGTTTGGAGTAAAACAAAACAACAAGCTAACTTGCTTTTGATGCGAATAAATGCAAAATGAATTCAACAGTCTATGAAAGATGAGATTTTTTTACCTTGCAATTTTATTTCTTTTCACTCTTTTTTCTTACCAAGCCCCTGTAAACTCTATTTGAGAAGCAAAGAGAAAAGAAAGGAAGAAGAAAAAAACGTGACTTTACGAACAATAGTGTTAAACTGCCGTTAGTCCAATATTTACCGGTGATTTCGGTAAACAGAAAAAAAAGAGAGTTTCTTTTTGAGAATATGATGTAAGGACAAGAATGAATGTTTTTCAGAAAGTATTCTATTGTTTACTTCAGTATCAATCATGCGTCGCAGCGTCCTCACAAATCCCATGGAAAACGTTCTTTCAAAATAATTTTTTCGCTGAAATCCTGACAGACACTGCGATGTCGGTGTGGATGTGCTTGTGTGGGTCTTCCCCGAAAGTAAGTCCATCATCACACTTAGATTAGGGTAGGGTAGGATTGTCCTGCAGAACTCTAACCCACAGTTCAAAATTATAATTTATTACACGCAAATTTGCAAAAGCTGTTACTAGTGATGCAAGCAAGACGTAGAGTCTCGTCACTAGCACACCGTTCAATTGTGGTCCAATACGAGCATAGCAATTCGTACACTAGCATCTGGTTGAATTGTAGGTGTGGATGAGTTTAGTTTATGCATATCTGTATACGTCTGATTTTGAAGTCGTTTATAAGCAACATATGCTTTCGCCTAATATTTGACATTATTTAATTCTCTTCTTTTTATTTTATTTAATTTTAATTTCTTATTATTTATTTTAATTGAATCAAAATAATAATCTATTTAAATTTAAAAATTGTGAGGGTGTGGATGTGGCCACGCTGTACTAGTATGAGTTTTCATGTACAGGTGTAAGTGTTAGTGTTGCTAAAACTGAAGAAAATACTTTTATCCTCATCCACACATCCACACCCACACCCACCCAGACCCACACCCACACCCGACGTGTTGAACACGATTGTATGCTTTGTGATAGTCGACAAGACTTAGCAGAAAGAGAGCATGGCAGACCATTGTATCGCCGTCGCTCGGTCTGGTGCAAGCGTCACCGAGTTTTTTTTCGACATTTGCCATCTATTCTGATTATAAGTACAGGTGTGAATGCAGGTCAACGATAAGTAAGCGTTCTTTACAAATCCGTTCACTCGATATGGATAACATGAAAGTAGAGAAGAATTGTGATGATTTCATCATGTACTAAAAAGTAAAATCTGGTGATGGGCTGAAAAAATACGTATTGGTTTACGAATAGTTTCGTTGCAAAATATTCTCATACGTCGTTGACAATGTCGATTAATGTTGTCCGATGCTGTGGTGGATTTATGATTTTTCTATTACAGACAAAGAAAATTGAAAAAAAATAATCAAGTAAGAAGTCCTTTTTCTTTCGAAGCTTGTGTGTGTGGGAGAACATTAGAATTTTGGGACTGGAGAGAAAACTAAAAATGAGATTCCTAAGTGTCTAGTACAGAGTAGTCAGAGTTCATTCTCCATCAGTTTGTTAATGTTAGCACTTGTGCACGTGATCTAAACTTCGATTGGCTATATCTGGCGACCTGTCCATTATAGATAGTGCAGGTCATGGTGCTTCTTCTCGATCTTCGTTTTCATCACT